GCCCACAAAGACAGCCGAGCGGGCGCCCGCGGGGGTGGCAGCATCAAACCTGCGCCACTCTCCACTGGCCAGCTTGAGGTGCTTGAACGCATGGTGCACGTGCCTCGCTGCGAGACCTTCTGCACCCAGGAACTGTATGACGAAACGGCGGCCTGGACTCTCACCCTCAATCTTCCACTGCTCGTCCGTGAAGCCGCCCTCAGACAGCCAGGGGGCCACGCACTCACGAATAGCAGCTGCCGCCACCGGCTCCTTGGTGGTGGCCACGAAGATGGTGTGGTTCGGCTCGCGAGTGAAGGCGACGTTGCTGGTGACATCCAGCTCGGGTGACGCTGCCTTCTCGCACTGGTGGACGATCTCCTGCATCTGCGCGAGCTGAGATCGCATATCACGGTGAGCCTTCTCCAGTGCGTCCTGCCTGGCATCCAGATCACGTAGGTGCAGGCTGGTCTCTTCGTTGATGGTCTCCTGCCTCGCCGCGAATGCGCGGATGGCTGTCGCCGTGCTCTCCGTGATGCCGCGCTGCATGCGATCCGCAGACTCCTTGACCGAGGCAGAGACCGTACTGATGATGTTTGACTGAAGGGCGGCCAGTATGTCATCCAAGTCGCCGTGGAGGACGGGAGCGTTCCTGTCCTTGGGGCTGCGCGGGGAGTCGATGGCGATGACAGGCGGTGTCCCAGCGGCAGCGGCCTGTGCACGCCCAGCAGCGCCTCCACGCCCGCCGCCTCCGCCCTCAGCAGACCAGGGGTCAGCGCGCTGCAGTGGATCGTCCGTCTCCATACTGCCAGCAGGACCAGCGCGGGCAGCAGCACGAGCAGCCATCGGTGAGCCCTGGCTCCTGCTCCGCACATCATCCTCGTGGCGGGCTGAGCTGACCCGGCTGCGCGGCGACTGACGCCCATCGCCACTCGCACGTGCACGCCCTGAGCGTCTCGGAGCACCAGCGTCCGCGCCATCAGGCATACGAGAGACAGGGACGTGCCGAGTGGGAAACGTGATGGCCTCTGCTGGGGCGGACCAGCAAGGCACGTGAGTGTGGGCGCCACTCAGAGCAGTAGCCCAGAACGCAACACAGTTGAGTTGGTTGAGAGATTTGGCGCAAGGGGAGATCCCTCGCGCTTGATCGCCCCGGGAGACTCGCGGTCGTCGGGAATCTCATCGCCTTGAGCCAAAATGGCTACGGATATGTATGTATGTATGTATGTATGTATGTATGTATGTATGTATGTATGCACGTATGCACGTATGTACGTATGTACGTATGTACGTATGTACGTATGTACGTACGTATGTACGTATGCACGTATGCGCGTATGTACGTACGTACGTACGTATGTAGGCATGTATGTATGCATGTATGTATGTGTGTACGCATTTATGTATGTGCCAGGGTGTATGTGTATGTGTCGTGCTGCGCCCGCATGAATGTATGCATGCATGCATGCATGCATGCGTACGTGCGTGCGCGCGTGCGTGCGTGCATGAGTGTATGTATGTATGCCTGCATGTATGTATGTATGTATGTATGTCTGTTTGTATGTGAGTATGTCTGTCGGCCTGTCTGTCTGTCTGTCTGTCTGTCTGTCTGTCTGTCTGTCTGTCTGTCTGTCTGTATGTACGTATGTACGTGCATGCATGCATGTATGGATGGACGTATGTATGCAGACATGTACGTATACACACACTTATGCATAGGCAAATGTATGCACGTATATTGGTCTATGGATCGAACTTGTTGCTTCTGTGCAGTAGACTGCTGACGGCTGAGGCAAACGAACACGCGCCAGTAAGGTTCATGGACCCACACATACGTCGGGGGTCGACCGCTGCCGCTCGCGCTCGTAACGCCCGATCGCGGCGAAGAGCCGCCTGGTGGCCGAGAGGCAGGCGTGCGCCAGCCGGGGTCGACGAGCACGACACGGCTCCTCGCTGGGAGCAGCTCTCCTCTCGGCGGGTGCCTGGGTCACCTCGCTTCGCTGACCGCGTCCCGCGAGGCGCGGCCCGCGGGATCTCGTCGCGCCCTCGCGCCGCCGCCCTTGGAGAAGGGCGCCACTTCAATCCACGCCAGCGGCGCGCGGAGCGCGATGATCTCGATCTTCGCGCCCCCGGGGGTGGCCTAGTCGCATGTCGGGCGTGTCCCCCCTACAGGGGGATTTTCGACGAAAAATGAAGCACACCCCAAAAGTACACCAACAAGGTCACACCATACCCAACAAATAGCCCCCATACTACTTTTCGACCATGGTTTGACGATTCTTGGGGTATTTTTGATGTGTCATCGAAAATCTCCCTGTGGGGGGACAGGCCCGACTTAAGCCTAGCTCTCGCCCGACTTAAGCCTAGTGAGCCAACGCGCCCGCCTCGAGAAAGCACCGTCGGAACCTCTCCGAGGCTGCCGCCTCGCCCGCGCCCCCGGCAGGCCCGGGCCGGCCTCGTCCCGCGGCACTGGGGGTCGGCTCGCCCCGGACGCGCGCCAGGAGCTGTCGCGCGAAGCACGGGCTCTGTAGGCGGCGGATATGAGGGGGAAAACAAACCTACCTCGCTTTTGACCACCCTCGCTTCTGAGAGATACCAAACGATGCCAAACTACGGCCTGTACTGGTCAGGTCGCTTGACGAGGAGGCGCGTGGTATGAGTTGGTTTTGCCTGGAAAACGAAAGCGGGGTAGGTAATTCACGCTCTGAGATATGGGCGGCATGAGCCGTGAAAGCCGTTCCTGTACCCCGCAGGGGAGCTTGATCCCTGCCTGCAGAGCTTATCGGGCAGGTCGTCGCAGTGGTAGAGCCAGAGCGTCCAGGAGAGCTGCAGGCCTCCAGCCTCGTGCATGCAGAGCACGGCGCTCATCCGAGCAGACCTCTTGGCTTGCAAAGACAGCGGCAGCGTCGAAGTCCGTGCACCGCTCCTCGAAGGCTGCGGCAGTGTCGGTTCCGACCCTGCCGCACAGCGCGTGGCCCTGAAATCACAAGCGCTCGGAAAGACCCCTCAGGGCCTCCATCAGAAACCGCCCCGCCCGAAGCGGCCCAGCCCGCAGGAAACCACACAGTGTTGCCTCCTGGTACCAGCGTGGGTCAACCACGAAGAGGTGGAGCACCGCGAGGCCTACACCAGCGCCGATGCTGCATTCACCAGGTCCGCCCAAGAGGGGGGCTTGCAAGAAGGGGGAGGTGCGCATGCTGGCCCGAGGCGTGTACGCGGACGAGGGGGGGGGGGGGGGGCCGGGAGTGACATCGGAAGCGGAGGAGGGAGCCACGATACCCCGGGAATATATCATGGCCCTTGCCGCGATACCCACACACAAGCACGCGCGCACGCACGCACGCACATACACACACATACACACACACACACACACACGCACGCACGCACGCACGCACGCACGCACGCACGCACGCACGCACGCACGCACGCACGCACGCACGCACGCACGCACGCACGCACGCACGCACGCACGCACGCACGCACGCACGCACACACACACACACACACACACACACACACACACACACACACACACACACACACACACACACACACACACACACACACACACACACACACACACACACACACACACACACACACACACACACACACACACACACACACACACACACACACACACACACACACACACACACACACACACACACACACACACACACACACACACACACACGCACACACACACACATCCACACACACACACACACCTCGGTCCTCACCCCCCCTCTTGGAGCCCGCCCCCTGAAACCGCGTGCTCGTCGTGGGCAGCTCTGCCACTGGGGCCCGCCTCCCTGTGGGAAGGGGGCCTGCACGGGTCCATCCTTGGGACGCCTCGGCCGCCGTGCTCTTCCCCTCTGTGTCACGGCGCAGGACGCTCTTAGGGGAGGGCCCCGGCGGCCCCGAGGCGGCAGGGCTCGGCCGAGGCCTCCGCCACCGAGTCTGGCCCCGCCTGCTCTCCCCCCGGAGCGTGTGCAGCCGGGGCGATGACCTGAGGAACCCCAGACAAGGAACGAGGCCCCTTTGTCACGGCGCAGGACGCTCCTGGGGAGGGCCCCAGCGTCCCCGGGGCGGCAGAGCTCGGCCGAGGCCTCCGCCACCAAGTCGGGCCCCGCCTGCTCTCCCCCCGCAGCGTGTACAGCCGGGGCGCTGGCCTAAGGAACCCTAGAGAAGGAACGAGGCCCCATTTTCCTCATAAGCTAAACGTCGATTCCCCTGGGGAAACCTCAGGAGAACCCAGGGCAAGCTGTGAAGCCATCGAGGAGCACCGAGCCCCTCCCCAACGAAAAGGGTTCCTTCTTCAGCGCCCCGGCTGCACACGACGGGCTGGGCCGAGTGGGGAGGGCTGCCCTCCAAGAAGGCAGGGGGGGGGGCCTCCTGGGAGGGCTCGGGGGCTTTCGAGGGCCTCTCGGACGGCAGGAGGGCCGCCAAAAAAAGACACCAACCTTCTTCTTGAAGATGCCTCCTGCTGCGACCAGCGCCCCACCAACATCCGCTCAGATCCGGTTGCCGACCCCTCCAGGAGTCCATCCTAGCCAATTTCTCGAAGTGTGTCCAGCCGTGGCAACGAGGGCCCTGGGAAGGGAAGTCGGAATCATTCCCCCGCTCTTCCGTCCTTGCTCCTTTCGCAACGCGCATGGGCCCCCTCTTGCGCAGGTTTTACGGTACGGCTTGGTTGAGCCAATCCAGGCTGGCTTCTCATGCCAGCGCCTCAGCCTCAAACGCGGACGTGAGACCACACAGCAAGGCTCCTGCACGACGCATCGTGTGGTAGCACTGGCTGCGCCCACCCCCCCACCCCCCTTCCGTCGCCCCTCCTCCCACCTCCCTCGCCCCCCTCGCGCCCCCCATGGTCCCCCCTCCCTCGAAATGCTCTCCTTCCCCCTCTCGCCCCCTCCCCCCCCCTCTGTCGGGTGCTCCGACGAGGGTGGCCATGGGGAGGGGCCAGCGCACCCTCGCTCGAGCCGCGTGCGCCCCCCCGCGGCGGCGCGCGGGACCTCGGCGTAGGCCGCGGCGGCGTGCGGGTCGAAGGTGGCGGCGAGCGCCAGGCCCGCCGGGAACCTCGTGGCAGTCGAGGGGCCCGAGCCTGCGCGCGGCGGGGGGCGAGGCGACGAGACGGGCACCGACGTCGTGCGCCCTCCGCCAGTCAGAAGAGGAACATATACAGTCGGGGCCTTGACCTAAGGAGCCCTAAATAAGGAACGAAGCCCCTTTTTTTCCATGAGTTAAACTTCGATTTCCTATCGAAAACATCAGGAAAACCTGAGGCAAGCTGTGAAACACTTACGGAACGCGGAGCCCCTCCCCAGCCAAAAGGGTTCCTTCTTCAGGGCCCCGACTGTACCGATGCAGCTGCGCAGCCTTCCCTCGTCGCCAGCCAGGGCTGGGCTCGCCTGGCGGCCCTCGTCAGGACGCGCCCCGGAGAGGTCCGTGGAGTGGATGTATGAAGGTCTTCCTGTGTCGTCCGCGAGAGAAGAACGCCAGACCCCAAACCGCCGACCACTTGTGGGTCTCTGGGCGCGTGGGGTTCTCCCCCCCAATACTACTCCCCCCTTGGGCCGCCGAAGCGGGAATTCGACCACCTCCCCCCCTTTCCCTGGACGACCCGAGCACGAACACATCATGGGGTGATAGAGGGCTACTAGACGGGCCAAGAGGGCCCCAAGAGGTCCCCAAGACGGTCCAAAAGGGTCCCGAGTCGCCGAAAGATCGATCCAAAACGTCCAAGATGGCCTCCAGACGGCCCAAGATGCCCCACGCCGCAAGAGGCCTTTAAGAGGCCTCCCAAGAGGGACCCAAAAGGCAAACTGCATTGATGTCCCATGGGTTTTCGAAGGATTTGGGCCGCCTTTTCGGCTTCCCGTTGCTCCACGACGGCCCACGAGGCTTCCAAGATCGCCCCAAGACCGTCCAAGAAGCCTCCAAGAGGGCCCCGAACCAGCCCAAGAGGATTCCAAGACGGCGCATGAGGCCCCAAGACGGCTCCAAGAGGGTGCCAAGACGGGGGACCGGAACGGACATTTTGAGCCCTCGTCTTCGAGAGGGCCCGAAGAGGCCCCGACAACACTCCAAGAGGCCACCAAGAGGCTCCCATGAGGCCCCCAAGAGGCCCCCCGCATAGGCTCCCGAGAGCGCTCCGAAGAGACCCCAAGATCTCCTCTGGCCCCAAGGCACAAGTCGCAGTGATCGATCTCCTCCTAGTTGGTCCCAAGACTTTCCCCGCGGCTCCCAAGGGCGCTCCAAGAAAGACTCAGGAGGTGCCCAGGAGGTCCCAAGCCCAGGAGGCCCCAAGAGGCCCCCAAGAGGCCCACCAAGAGGCCCTCAGAAGGCTCCCAAGAGACCCCCAAAAAGGCCCCAAGAGGCGGGGGAACCCGCAGAGGCCCTGGGAGCCCTCCCCCAGAAGATGGCCCCCCAAACCCCTACCTGGCTCCAATATGTCCTCAAAAAATTCCCAATGAGCTCCATGAGGGCCTGAAGATGATCAAATGAGACCCCCCGAAGGCGCCCGAGAATCTCCAAAGACACCACCCCCAGCTGCACGAGGGAGGCCTCAAACAGAGCCCGGACACCATTACAAACCGTCCCGTTGTCCTTTAATCATCCTGCTGTTACTCCTTCCTCTCACCGTCGTCGTTATCTATTTCATAATTGTCCCCCTTCTCGCTCATCCTCAGAATCCCAAGATGGAAAAGTTACATCGACCATCCACGACGTCACTCCGGGAGCATCTCGCTGCGCGCGCGACGCGCAACATGTTCCAGTGCGCCCTCCCGAGAAGCGCAGGATGAGTCAGCCCCATGCGCGGAGTAACGACTGCGCGGCGGCCATCCCCGACGCACTCGGACACTTGAAGGCATCCCATGCGCGCGGCGGCGTCCTAGAAACAGCCAGCAATCGCCCAGGAAACTCTGCGACGCCCACAAGGCCTCACTTCGTCTGGGGGTCGGCGGAATGACGTAAGCCTCTTGGATACATCAAACTACGGATACATATATATATATGTAAATATATATAGACATATACACATGCATATATACATGTGTGTACAAAAACCAAACATGCGTGTATCGATTCCTCGATACATATCACGATATATGCAACTACAGGTTGGACCGACTGCCCATCTAGCAACATCGCTAACAGTAAACCGGTCAATGCCACTATCTACTGGTTTCACAATACATGCATCGATCCCACTACCAAACTATTTCTAGATAGCGAGATGCACAGATCGCACAATCTGTCGATCGATCTCACGATTGAGTCTCACTATCTATGTCTCTCTTTATAGGTCGGTCAACCGATGGACAACAAATAGACGATTGCGCGACGGCCACAAGCGATCACGTGAGAACCACGGGACAACCACTGGACAAACACTGGACAACCACACGGCATGCGCGGGACAACCACGGGACAATCACAAGAGTACCACGGGACAACCACGAGATAACCACGGGACAACCACGGAACGCCGCTCTAACAATCAGACTGCATAACTATCGGTTTCGCGATGTATCGATCGCACTATAATCCGATCGATTTCACAAGTCATATCTCGATCTCGCTATCTACCAATCGATATCACTATCTAGATATTGACCTTAGATGGAACAATCACGGGATCATCACAAGACAACCACAAGACAATCATGGAACAAACGCGGAACAACCAGCGGAACACCATCCCACCAACCGCGGGACAACGGCGGGACAACCACAGCACAACCACGACCATGGCACAACCACGGGTCAACAATGAATGAACCACGGAACAACCACGGGACAACCGCCGAACAATTGTGGAACAACCTCGGGACCACCACGGGAAAACCGCAGGATAACCGCGGGACAACTACTGGAAACCCGTGGGACAACCCAGGACTCACCGCCGGCAATCATGGCACCCTGCCCTAACAAGAACGGGATCCCTCTCGCCCTCGCGCAGCCTTCCATGCTCGCACGCACGTCACTCACAACACGGACCGAAATCGAGACCCATGTCTTGGGGGATCCGACTCACTTCGGTACGACCCGAAATGTGGTCCCGACAGGTCGTCCCGATGGTTGTCAAGAGAAGATTCTCTCGATGGTTGTCTTGATTGCTGTCCCGACGGTTGTCACGATGGTTGTCCCGATTGCTGTCCCGATGGCCGCACGTCCACTCGTGAGTTGAGCTTTGCGTCCAACGCGCACCAAAGCCGAAGCAAACACCCCCACAGCCTCCGTGTTACCCAAAAATGAAGGGGCCCTGGGACACACAAATACATACACACAAATGAAAAGATTCCCCATATTTCCCAATATTTTCTGGGTTTTTGTCTTCCCGTCCAATTCCTATAGTTTCCCATAGTTTCGGGGGAATCGAGGATTAATTGTGTCTGTGTGTTTTTTCCCCTCCTGAGAAAAGGGCTGTCTAATAGGTACATGGGGGAGCCTCGTCTGCGCCCCCACTCCATGGGAACGGTGGCGCGTCCCAGGCAGCTGCTCGATGGTCCTGGGACCAGGAGATGGCTCCCAGATGCCCAAGATTGAGAAGAACAGGCCGTCTTAGTGGTGTCTGATCTGCCAGATGTCTTGTTGGGCGTTGGCAGAACTGGGTTTAGTGGGACCTGGTTTAATGATGTGTACTGGGGGACGCCCCCCCGCCCTTCTCCACTAACCGAAACTGCCGTCACCCGAAAAAACACCAGCTACGGCAGACCTGGTTTAGTGCTTCTGGCCAATTTAGGGGCTCTGGGGCCCTACCACTAACCGGGCCCGCTTACCTGGGGTCCTGGCTATACCCGATCTTGGTCCCATCAACAGACGAGGAACGGTACAGCGGAAAAACCGTGCCGCCGTCGTGAGCGCCTGCTCCAGTCGGGACGACCGACATGGGTACGGAAAGAATGTGTACAATGCCCAACAGCAGTTCCTGTTCATTTTGAACAGGACTCGCTGTCCACGACGCCGCGGCCTGTGTCTATTTGAAACAGAGGGCCGCCTGCCCAACAGCGGCCGCTGTTGGTTTGGGACAACATTTGTTGTTGGGCATTGTACCCCTTCTTTCCGTACCCATTTCGGGCGTCCAAATCCAGGGCGGCCTGGGGCAGGCGTCCCCGACGGCGAGCACAAGTTTAGATGCCGCACTGGCCGTCGCCGCGCTCCCCTCCTGCGCAGGCCGCGGGGCCTGGAGCCTCGAAGCCCTGGGTCGCGCCGGCGATGCGCAGGGGGGCCGACAGCGCACTCCTGGGCGCGGCTCCGGCCGCGTGCCGAGGGGGGCGATCGACTCGGCTGCACGCAGGAGTGACCCTAGGTAAGAGTGACCTTTGGTGCGCGGCCTTTCGGGGGCCGCGGGGTCGCCAAACACAGGCGAGCAAGACGCCACCAGCGTATCGCGTTCGGCGATCGGGGAACCCCAATGTGCCCGCACCAAAGGTCCCTCCGGCGAAGGGTCACTCTTACGTCCAGTCGATCGACTGCAGGGGGACCTCTGGGGCTGCCGTCCCCGGGCCACCCGGTGGACCCCTCGGCGTCGACGGCGACGGCTCGCAGGGGGATCGACGTCGTCTCAGACGCGCTGGGCGTCCAAGGCAATGCTAGAAGTGGCACGGCGGGCAAGAGAACACAGAACTGAGAGACGTCACATGAGCCTCTTTGCCGTCCGTCTGGCGTCGGACGGACTTGTCTTTCACACTGCTGGGCACCCCAGGTCCCCAACCTGACACCAATAGGGCCAAAGAGCTTGCACTTGCCATCATTGGCAAACCAAGCGACCGCACGCACTGTATAGCAGCCAAGCTACTTCGAAACAGCACGAAGCGTGGCTCCGGATAGTCGGCAATGTGTTTGCGTGTGTGCGTGCGCATCCTCAGAACGCCGAGGTGGCCAAGCATACCGGAGCTTCTGGCTGCCACTCTTCTGACAGCCGATCCCCAGCACCTCGTTCTACCCTCTCACCCCTCCCTCCCCCCCCTCCTCCCTCCCACCGCATCTCCACACCCTGGCGGTGTTCGCAGGGGCCTCTGGCCTTCAGGCGCCACGCTAGTTGACCGAACGACCAGGGGTGGTACAAGGGGGCCCAGGGGGGGTGGGACTTGGACCTCGGGAGAAACCCTCCGGACTCCTGAGGAAAGCAGGCGAATCCTTCAGAAATCTCTGAGACACCTTGAACAACCATTAAGGATCCTCACGGACCCTTCAAGAGTCGGCAGCGAACCTGCAGGAATCCCCAAGAGCCCTTCGGAAATCCGACAGGGATCCTCCAGAATGTTCAGGGATCTTCAAGAAACATTAGAACCCCAAGAAAACGGACGGATCTCGCAGGAATCCCAGCAAACCATCACGAGTCTTCAGGAGCGCTTCAGCAACCAGCAGAACCCGCCTGAATCTTCGAAAATCCGCAATGACTCGTCAGGAATCCGCACGAGACCCCACTGGCCTGGGACAGTCTAATCGCGTCATACCTCCATCCTTGCTCGAATCTCCATCCTCGATCCTGAGACTGCTGCAGACTCGTTTCACTCTGAGAGACACCCCCTCAACGTCTCCACGTGCAGCGCGGGGGGGTGGCTGGGAGACTGCACTCATTGTATCATTCGGACTCACGCAGGTACCAATCCTGAGCGAATGCCCCTCGCTGAACTCCTGGCTCAGGTTCACTGGAAAATTCTCGGTGTGGGGGGGGTCTCAGCGATCTCAGACAGTCCGCCAAGTTCAGCAAGCTGCTAATTCAGTCAACTGCCTGTTGCTGATTTGGCCTTACCGACAGCAATCTTGATGAATCCTCACGAATCTTCGAAGAACTGGCGGGGATTCTCCAGGAATCCTCTGGAATATTCAGGGATCTTTTGGGATGTTCAGGAATACTCCGGGCTCCTCAGGAAGCCGAACGATTATTCAGAAATCTTAGAACTCCTTCCAGAATTCTTCAGAAATCCTCCAGGGAACCCTGCAGGAATCCTTCGGGGATCTTCTGGAATTTTCATGAATCCCCAGGGGCCACCATGAATCCTGCATGCATCCTTCCTGGATCCACCAGGGATCCTTTTTGGAATCCTAAGGCATCTTCAGGATCCTCAGGAACCCGCAGGAATCCGGACCATCCTTCAAGAAACAGTCTAGAACCCTGAGCCATCTTCAGGACTCCCCAGGGATGGTCGGGGTCCGCAATATTCCTTCTGGAATCTCGCCAGGAACCCTCACGGATCCTCCAAGGACCGGCAGAAGGAGTCCGCAGGAACCCCTTTCATGAACCTCCAAGGACCCTCCCGCCCCCTCTCAGTAGGAACCCTCAGGGACCCTTGATGGGCCCTTTAAAACCACCTTGCCCGCATGACCCCCCTCATGAACCTACTATGAATGTCTAGGAACCCCCAAGAACACCCTTTGGACCGAGACGCACATCCATGGCCTCGCGACCTCTCAGTGGGGGGGCTATCAGGCCCGCCTTTACATGGTCAGTCAAACTCGGGCAGACTGTAGCGGTTCAGCACCGCCTTCAGCTGGGCGTAGAGGAGGACGGCAGAGGAGGAGGAAGAGGAAGGCTGACGAGTTAGGGCGCCTGAGTGGCGGAGACATGACTCCTCATCCTCCCATTTCTCCCCTTTACAACGCTGAATTATCATTATCCCGCCCTTTGTTCTTGCATCTGTTTCGGCTGTCGTGACGGGCTCCTCACCACCAAAACTATCACCCCTACTGGACCGACAGCATTAGTTAGCACCTGTATTCGCAAATTTCCAGTCTCTCCTCACCAGGGCGGGGGCGCGTTTCTCTTTAGAATGGCAATGTCGCTTGAGGCGTCCATTGCTCAGGACTTGGGTGAGAAAGGGGGGGGGCGGAGGAGAAAGGCAGACGAGAAACAGAGGACGGAACGGACAAGGGAAGGGCAGGAATTTCGAGGACGGCAGACGAGGATGACAGGACAAGGAGGAGAAGAGGAAACATAAGGCAGACGTGGATGAGAGGAAGGGGAAGGCCGCCCCCCCCTGACACATAATTCTCCTACGCCCCCTTTGTTCCTCGGATATCCTGACGGGCTCCCCACCCCCAGGCATGTCGCCTCCATTGCACCGACAGCGTTACATAGCACCCATATTCCGAACCTCGCATTCCCATTCTCACCAGGTGGAGGGGCGTTTCTCTTTCAGAATGGTAGTCTCGCTTGAGGCGGCCTTCGCTTAGGGCTTCGGTGATACGGGAAGAAGTTCAACCTCGGCGTCGGCCTGAATTATCTGATTTGCACCGCGAGTATGGCTTCGTGTAACTAGACTGCACAACAAAATGCCCCGAAGGCGAGGCCCTCGATGGAGCGCCCCAAGCTCGGCGCCCCCGAGAAACTGGCCAAACGGCCGTCGCGATCGCTCCAGGTGCGCGCGGATGGAGGCCTCCTAAATGGGTCGGAGCAGGTGGGGTCGGAGGCTCGCGCCGCATCGCCGGCGATGCACCGGCGATGCATCGTCGACGTCGGCGACGTCGACGTGACGCAGATCGGGCTCCGCATCCAGTCGCACCTACCCCGACCCCATCCATAGGGGGCATGCAGCGGGGGCCCCGGCGGGCGCCGCGGTCTCCTGAGCGTCTCCGCGTCGTCCTCGCCCTGCTCGGGGACCCTCGTCTCCACCTCGCGCCCGGGGCGCCGGGGGGGCGCTGCGGCCCGGCGGCGTCGGCGACGGAGAGGCTCGGGCGCCGGATCGCGCCGCAGCGCCGAGGCATCGCGCGCAGTGTCGCCGCAGAGGAATGGGGGCGAGCAGGAAGGGGGGCCAGCGCACCACGGCCCGAGGCGCGCGCGTGGACGAGCGAGGGACGCAGGGGGGCGCAGGGGAGAGAGGAAGACCCGGCAAGGACATCTCTGGGAGATGTCGTGGCCCGGCCACGACATCCACACACCCTTGCTCACCCCCCTCTTCGATAGGGGGCCACGTGCGAACCCTACCCCTCCCCCTCAGAAATCGTGGGGGGTAGGGCTAGGGTTCACATGTGGCCCCCTCTTCGACGCCCCCAACCCATCTTGATCCACCAGAGCATCGACAGGTGTATGTATGCCCAAAGCGACCCAGACAAACGGCACTGTAGGCGCTCAGGCGATTGGCCCTGGCCGTGTGTGTAACGGAATCGCATGCCAAAAAGCGAGAGGACGAAAGGACGCCCCTGGCCCATCTGCTCTGGCCCAGCCCGGAAGGCCCAGAAGAGGAGGAGGGGCCAGGAAGGGACCCTCTTTGGCCCCTCATTTCCGGCAGTTTTGTTCTTTGGCCCCTCCCTGGACGTCGTCCTGCTCCGGCCCCTCATCTCGTGGGCGGTCTTGTTTTCGTCTGCCGAGGAGGTGCCCTGAAGAGGAGGAGGAGGAGGAGGAGGAGGAGGAGGACAAGTGTAAAAACAAGAGTCATCAACGATGTTGGAATTAACCCTCCCTCCAAGCTTCCTCCTCCTAGGCCCCCACAACGGTTCATTTCTATTGAGGGAACTGCCTCGTTGGAAGACAACCGTTTTAAGATCCTGAAGCATGCCAAAACATTGGTCTCGGGATTTCAACGCCACGTATCAACCTGACTGCTCCGTCTTGACGATCCGGAATCGTGCCAGAGCGCCATTTTTGGGACTTCGACACCGCGAATCAACATAACTGTTGCACCCGCATAGTCCTGAATACTTCCAAAACGCAATCCTTGGTACGTTGATCATGGGAATCCGTGCAACTGTTGCAAATGTTGAAAACGAATGTGCGCGGCGCTAGACGAGAACCACATGTTGAAGAGGAACCGCCCTAAATCCGTGAAACCCTTGCACTTGTTTGCAACGAATGTGCGCGGCGCTAAGGCGAGAACCACATTTTGAAAACGACCCGCCCTCAATCCGTGAAACTCTTGCAATTCCCCAAGCAGTGCTTGCACTGAAGATGTCCTCGCGGAAGCGCGGAAGTTGAAAGATTTGGCGAAAGTGTCCCGCCGATTTTGGTCGCACGCTGGGTTCCCGCGTTGCCGGTTCCGGGTTCCCGGGTTCCTGGTTCCAGGTTCCGGGCCGATTTCGGAGGGCGGCGGGGTTCCCGGGTTCCCGGGTTCCTGGTCGATCTTCGTATCGATCGGTCTCACCATTGATCTCATTACTCACTTTTCTACCGATCTCACCATCGATCTCACAATCGATCTCACGATCGATCTCACAAGCGATCTTACTAGAGATCGCATGAACGATCTCGCGATCGATCTCACTATCGATCTCATTGAATCGATTTCACTCTCGCTCTCACGATCGACCTTACAATCGTCCTCACCATCGATTCCACTATCGATCTCATTATCGATCTGACGAGCAATCTCAATATTCAGAATATCCATTTTCTAATCATCCACTGGTTGGGATGTATCAGGTGCATATTTGTTCTTTCGTTTTTAATGCGCGCGGCGCCAAAGAGAAGGCCACATGTTGAAAACGACCCGCCCTCAATCCGTGAAACTCTTGCAACTTTTGAAAACGAATGTGCGCGGCGCTGAGGCGAGAGCCACACGTTGAAAACCACCCGCCCTCAATCCGTGAATCTCTTGGACATGTTCAAAAAGAATGTGCGCAGCGCCAAGGCGACACCCACATTTTGAAAACAATCCGCCCTCCATCTGTGAAGCTGTTGTCACTTCTTCAGAATTATACATGGTGGGGCAGTCTCAAGTGAAAAACTGGCTTCGGGGTGCGACAGGGACTGGAGGAGGAGGAGGAGGAGGAGGAGGAGGAGGAGGAGGAGGAGGAGGAGGAGGAGGAGGAGGAGAAGGAGGAGGAGGGAGGAGGAGGAGGAGGAGGAGGAGGAGGAGGAAGAGGAGAAGAATTAGTGAATTTGTTTTCTCCTTCGGGGGCAGCCCCGACGGTTCATTCAAGCAAGGTCGAGGATGATGATGATGAGGAGGAGGAGCAGGAGGAGGAGGAGGAGGGGCCAGAGGAGGAGGAGGAATGGAGGAGGAGGGGAGGAAGGGGCATCGCCCACAGAGGCCGGCTGGAGCTGCGGAGGGACCCTTCGGGGAGGGGAGCGCCCCGCCCCAGGGCTCCGCTTCCCCGCTGCGGGAAGCAAGCCCCTGGGAGACGACGAGACGACGACGACGACGACGACGTCTCAGTAGGAACGATGGAGAAGTGCGCGAGGCTTAGCTGCCCCGATACGCAACACGCAATACGTATCGTATTGATACGGAGCTCAACACGTAGGCTGAAAACGCGGGTCCGACGCGACACATTCGCCAAAACGTGGTCCGGTACGTGGAGCCAACACGCAACGTATTGACACGGAGGTCTTGAACACGGGACGTGTTGCGTCTCAAAACGGGCGTATCGAGGCAACTAAGGCGCGAGGGAGTGCTTTCAAGTTCGCTTGGCTTGCTCAAAGCGGAGCCCCCCCCCCCCTGCCCGGAACCGCCCCCGCCCCAAACAGTACCCACTCCGCCCTTCAGGAATCGCGCCCCCGTCCTCAGCGCCCCCCCCTCCATAACCGAGGGGGGAACCCCTGGGAAGCGGGGGAGGGGGCCCCATCTTGTTAACGCCTCTGGTGTCCGGGCACACGACGGAGACAACGACTAGGGGACGGAGCCGACGATGCATACGGCGACGACGTAGACAACCTCCGCCAACTACGGCCAGAACGACAACAACGAAGAAGAGGATGGCAACAACGGACAGGGACGACGAAAGACAAACAGAATGAAGAAATCCCACCAGCCCTTTAGGGCGTAGGTGGTCTAGGGAGTTTCCTCTGCCAACCCCCTTCTTCCCCTTCGGGGAGGGGTTTACCCCTCCCCTTACCCCTCCCCACTGACCTGGACGGGGCCGGTCGCGAGGTGTCAGAGCGTCCAAGATGGCCCAAGACAGCTCCAAGAGCGAACAGGCGAGAAAACACAAAACATTGATTTTACCTAGGTTTTGGAAGGATTTTGGCATCTTGGGGGGGCCCAAGAGGCGACTCGAGGCACTCTGGAGGGGCGGGGCTAATAAGCAACCCCCCCTTCTTTGATAGATCTCCTCCAAGATGACCCAAAGAGCGCCCCAAGAGCGCCCCAAGAGGGCCCCAAGAGACCCCAAGAGGCCCCCAAGAAGCCTCCAAGAGGCTGCCAAGAGACCCCCACGAGGCCCCAAGAGAGTCCAAGATGACCCAAGACGGCTCCAAGAGCGAAAAGGCGAGAAAGCAACAAACATTGATTTTACCTAGGTTTTGGAAGGATTTTGGCCTCTTGGGGCGCCCAAGAGGCGACTCGAGGCACTCTAGAGGGGCAGCGCTAATTGGGGAACCCCCCTTCTTTGATAGATCTCCTCCAAGATGGCCCCAAGAGCGCCCCGAAGGCTCCCAAGAGCGCCCCAAGAGCGCCCCGAGAGCGCCCCGAGAGCAAGAGGCCCCAAGAGGCCTCCAAAAGGCTCCCAAGAGACCCCCAAGAGGCCCAAGAGGCTCCCAAGACGGGTCCAAGAGCGAAAAGGCGAGAAAACAAAAAACATTGATTTTACTAGGTTTTGGAAGGATTTTGGCCTCTTGGGGGGGCCCAAGAGGCGACTCGAGGCACTCTAGAGGGGCAGCGCTAATTGGGGACCCCCCCTTCTTTGATAGATCTCCTCCAAGATGGCCCCAAGAGCGCCTCGAAGGCTCCCAAGAGCGCCCCAAGAGCGCCCCAAGAGGGCCCCAAGAGGCCCCAAGAGGCCCCCAAGAGGCCTCCAAGAGGCCCCCAAGAGACCCCCAAGAGGCCACAAGAGGCTCCCCGAGATACGCAAGAGGCCCCCGGGACCGCCAAGAGGCCCCAAGGACGGCCCAAGAGGCCCCCAAGCTCGCAATTGTCCTCCTCCTCCTCCTCCTCTTTTTCTTCCTCCTCCCTCCTCCCCCTCCCCCTCCTCCTCCTCCTCCTCCTCCTCCTCCTCCTCCTCCTTCTCCTTTTCCTCCTTCTCGTCCTCCTCGTCCTCGCAGTCCTCCATCTCCTCCTCCTTCTATTCCTCCTCCTCCTCCTCCTGCTCCTCCTCCTGCTCCTCCTCTTCCTCCTCCTACTCCGACGACGACGGCTCCTCCTACATCCTCCCCCTCTTGGGGTATATGGCGGCTCACCCCGCCATTTGTTCTTCTGCATGCTCCCCCGCTTCCCTCATAACCTCCACTCCCCTGGGACTCATTTCTGGACGGGCTGGTGGGGATACGCGAAGCGTCTAGAATTGACGATGACCTCGACTGAAGATGGCCGACAACGACGACGACGACGACGACGAGAACGCACGTTGACGACGACTGGCGACAACGACGATTTTGACGTCGACGCCCATTTCGACGAGGAGGACGGACGTTGACGACGACGTCGACGACAAAGACGACGACGAAGACGACGATGACGACGGAGGTCCTGTAGCGGGAGGGTCGGCCGGGTCATTTCAGGTGTGCGGGCTTTCGAGCAATCGGGCTGCAGGATAATCTAATTTAACTGTTGGGACGAGCGGCTGACAGATCAGCGGGCGAGCTGGCTGAGCGTGAACATGACAACAGCATCGCCATCTTAGTTTCTATGATTACGATCATGCTGAAAATCGCCATCAATATCATAATCGTCGACGTTACCATCGTCATCACCATCATTGTAGTTAATATTGGTCATGTTCGTCATCGACGTCACCATCGTGCTCTCAATCATCAGCAACCCCGTGCTACGCATCATCATCACCATCACCATCAACATCCTCAACCCCCCCTCATTGCCATGGTCATGACCACCATATCATCATCACCACTATCATCACTACTACCGTCATCCCAAACCTGTTCCTCATTCCAGGGGAATGGGAGGGCCCGCGGGGGTGGGGTCTGGATTTCGAGGGCTCGTGCATCCACCCCCATGGGGGGACCCTTAGCTTCCGAGAGCCCCAACCTCAGGGGGTCCACCCAAATCTGACCGCGCCCCCCCCCCCCCCCCTGCAAAGAACTATGTATCCCTACTCCGGGGCCATGAAGCCAGACTGAACCAGAAAGGCCCAGCAAACTTCGGATTAGGCCGCGGTAGGATGGTCTCTGGTCGCCGATCTACCAGCGTCGATGCTGAATTGACCCGCCCAGGAATGGCTCCCGAGCTCTCCCGACCCTGCTCCGAACAAGCGGGGGAGGCCTCTAGAAGCAGGCAGGGGAAGAGCGAGGGAGAGGATGATGTTGATATTGTTGTTGTTGATGATGGTGATGCTGATGATGGTGATGCTGATGCTGATGCTGATGATGGTGATGATGCTGATGATGATATTGCTGATGTCGATGTTGATGTTGATGCCGTTGTTGTTGTTGTTGATGATGGTCATGATGATGCTGTAAGGGGGAAATCAGAGCCACTGATAGACGCCACAATGATGAAGACGACCGCCCGGAAGTCAGCGTGTGAAGCAAGGGCCTCGGGCAGCACTGCAGAACGGCTGCCCACAAGTTCGGAGCTGCAAACGCCGTGCAGGGCTTCGCCTCGGGGCTCCCTGGGCCGCACGTCGACTGGGCGCACGAAAACGCGCTCAGGGGGTGGGGTCGAGAGCTGCTCTGGAGACGATGCGGTGCTCCCCGCAGGATGCGACGCAAATGCATTAGCCGCAAAGGCCCGGCTGGAGGAGGAGGAACAGAGGGGGGGTAAGGGGGAAGTTTTGATTATGATAATACAGATAATGAAGGTCTGGGAGGACAAAATCGTGCAACGAACCTTCTCCCTGACCCCGTGAGCGGGGGATTTGCAGCCGGAAGCCGTGTGGGATCGCTCCTTGCTCACGCCCTTCTCCGCACAGCATGCGCTTGGCGACGACACGGCCAACTGGTCGAAGTTGTTTGAATGGGCCCTAGGACACACAAATAAATACACATAAATAAAATGATTCCCACTTTTTTCCGATACTTCCTGGGTTTCTGTCTTCCCCCCCACTTCCCATATTTTCGCATATCGTCTGGGAATCGACGAATCATTGTGTCTGTGAGTGCTTTTCCCCTTCTGATCCTTGCTCACGCCCTTCATTGCACGACATGCGCTCGGCGACGACACGGCTAACTGGTCGGAGTCGTTGGCCGCGGGGTCTTCGGCACGCGGGCCGCACCAGGATCTACTCGTCGTGCTCCCCTCGCAAGCCGGCACCAGAGCAACAAACACCTGCACAAACATGCTTTCTCAGAGGTCCGCGTGGATCTCTTCGATCGGCAAGGGGCCCCCCTCCCTGGCGCGCGGAGCGCGCGGGCGGCGCTGGAGGCGCCACCAGGGGAGCCCAGCGCCGAACCGAGAAATCCGTGCGGAACTCCGGACGTGCATGGTTGCGCAGCTTTTTTCGTCGGGATCTACGGGTCGTGCTCTTCTGGGTAAAACCGGGACACTCTGATCGACTCCAGCGTGCAGGGTGTCTTCGGCCGGTTGTTTCCCCGATCTCAAGGCCTTACCACTGGCCGTCGCTCGGACGTCCATTTCCCGTACATTGTTCGGTCTCGTGCGTGTTTTTTTTTGCTCGTAGTCCAGGATGGTCTTCGATGGTCCTCGCCGAGAAAAAATGCACACGTCCGAGCGATGCCAAAACCAGGCTGGGCAGGGTGCGCCGCCTGAGGGTTCACCAGGCCCAGGTAGCCCCACCGGTCGGCCATGTCGTCGCCGTTCTGGCCGTGGAGCAGCGCGGTCTTGGCCTCGCCGGGGCGCGGAGTGGCCCTGGACACTGCGTCCTCGCTCCCCTCCTCACCCCTAGTCCGTCCCTTCCCTCCCTCACCCCCCCTCGCACTCCTTCTTCGTTCTTCCTTCACCTCGTGCCTCATGCCTACTCCTCCCCGTCTTCCTTTCCATCCTCCTGTGTGTGCCTTATGCGCGCACATCACGCCTAGCATGTGGGCCGACAGATTATCAGCACCCAGGCGTGCCGTCCACTATCGGCAAACGTGAATGGCACGCGCGGGGGTAAGATGGCCAACACGTGCAGCGAATCCAAATAATGCACCCAACATGTCGTAGTTCAATGTCCCCTGCCTCTTGATCTGCCAAGCCGTGCCGCGCCCACAATCAGGGCTCATAATCATTCACAGCCGTCCGCGCAAGACCGTGACCGCAGAAAACACTGGCCCTCTGCGTGGTTCGAGCGGCAGTGCTCGGCTACACGCAGAGAGTGACCCCAGGCAAGAGCAACCTGGGGCGCGCGGAACGAAGGACGGGCCCTTGGGGGAGCACTACCAGACGCGCAAGCCGCTGCTACCACATCGCATTGAGCGATCGAAAGGCCCCATTGGTCCCGCCCCGAGTGTCACTCCGGCGCAAAGTCACTCTCTCGTGCAACCGGGGTGCAGCCAGCGCGCCGCTGCAAGGTCAGCACCGCCACCGCCTGGCAGGGCCACCCCTGCGAACGCGGCCTGCCTCGGCCGCCGTCGCGCCGCCTGGGTGGTCCCTGGAGGGTCCCAATAGAGGTTTCCTAGATGGGGTCCGAATAGATGGGGTCGGAGGATCGTGCCAGATCGCCGATGCATCGGCGATGCGTCGGCGATGCACTGGTGATGCATCCTCGACGTGTGCAGTGCGTAGGCGACGCCGACGTGAAGCAAACTGGGCTCCACATCGAGCAGCTGCATCGCCGATGCATCGGCGATCTGGCGAGGTCCTCCGACCTCATCTACTCCGGCCCCATCTGGGAGGCCTGGATGCGTGGACCCAGGAGGGTCCCGAGACGGTGGCAGACGGCATCGACCAGGGCCCCAAGGATTCCGGGCGGCCTCAGAGAAGTCCCAGGCGGTCCTCCAGGATTGCCCCCGAGAGGCTGTCAGGGCGAGAGGGGGGCGGGCAAGATGGGCGGGAGGAGCGCCCAGGACGCGCCAGGGAGCTCCTCCAGAGACGTGCGGCCAAGAACAGTTCGGTGGCAACTCTCGGGAGCCTCTCGTACCATCATGTCGGGTTTTGCGAATCGGCGATAGTCGACGCTAGTCGACTCTAATCGACGCTCAATCGACGCTACTCGACTCAAGCCGATGCTAATTCGGCGCTATCTCATCGACTCCAAAACGCTAGCCAGTCGACGCTGAAGACGGGATTACGAGGGTATACAAGGTTCCCATGATTCGCTACCGAAGGCAACCGACAACGAAAGCAAGACATCACGCCCTCGCCCGATCTATATCTATATATATATATATATACGTACATACATACATGCATGCATGCATGTATGCATACATACACACATATTATATATGTACAGATAATAGGACCATCGCGCGCTTTTCGCGCGCGATCAAGATCTAGCTAGGATTGATGGGCGAATTCATGGAATATCATGTTTGTCGTTTCTTGCATCAAAGGACTCTCTTGGAGGCCCTGCGCAAACGTCGGAATCGTATAGAGGAGTAGAAGGGGAAATTTGGAAACGCAGAAATCATTCATTCCCTCTGGGTATTCAACGATTTGGGGCCCTCAAAGGCTTCCTGGATTTTTTTTTCCGGGAGGTGAGGGGGGCCTTAATTGTGCTCTGTTGTGCAAGAACAGAAAGGGGGGCGAACTTGAAAAAAATGAATTGTGCGATTCCCTTTTTTTCAAGTTGTCGTGCATGGGCTGTGGGTTAGAGGTTTTCTGGATGCAGACCACGGTCTGCTGGGATGCCTCTCGGGGCTTTCCACTCATAGTTTGAAAAAAATCCAAAGTTCATGTTTCACCTCATGGGATCATGGGATCTCGATTCTACGGTGGTTTCAGGGGCAGCCAAGGAGGACAAAAAAACGATCCAAGAGAGTTCCACGACAGCGTCATGGAGAGTTCAGCAGCATTGCCGAGACATGTTTGCAAATGACTCCGAAGTCTTGATGGGGCTCGGGATGAGCTTGAGCAAAAAGAGAATGACTGGAACTCCATGTTTCGAGTGGGTCCTCACAGGTAGTACGCAGGAATCGGGGGAGGCCTAAGAGGCGTGCAGGGAGCTCTTGGGAGGCAGTTCGGAGGCCTATTGGGGGGCTGCTTGGGCGCCTCTTGGGGCCACTTTTGGGCCTCCAGCGTTGGAAGCTCGCTCGAACACGCGAGAAAACCAAAAATCTCGAACAAACAATGAAAACCAACGATTTGGGTGTCTTCGGGGCGGCAGCCTTCCCCCGACTTCGAATGAATGAAGATGGCTCGAAGGTCGGATTGGGCTGTGTTTGGGGCCTCGTCGGGGCTTCTCTGGGGCCTCTCAGGGGTCTCGGGTGTGTTGGGGGCCTCTGGGGGGTCCTGGAGGCCTCTCGGAGGTCTCTGGAGGCCTCGTGCTCCCGCTCTTGGGCCAATCTTGACCCTGTTCTGGGGTGGTCTGGGGCTGTCCTGGGCGCCTCTTCAACAATCTTGGGGCCTTCTTGGCCCGTGGGCCGTCTTGGGGACCTTTTGGGCGGTCTTGGGGCGGTCTTGGGGGCCTCTTCGGCCGTCTTGGAGCGTTGGAAGCATGAAATGGTGAGAAGACCAAAAACTTCAAACAAAACCATCTGAAAATTAAACATGTTAGGTTCTCCGGGCGCTCTCGGGAGGCTTCTCGGAGCTCTCTTGAGGTCTCTTGGAGGCTTTCTGGAGCCTGTAGAGCCGTCCGAAGGCTAGCTTGGTTGCTTGGGAGTGTCTTGGGCTGTTTTTTTTACGTTCTGGGGGCTTCCTGGGGTCGTCTTGGGCTGTTCTTGGGCGTTTGGGGGGCTTCCTGGGAGGCCGGGAGGCGCGGCACCGGGAGCGTATCGCCAATGTTACGGGGAGGGTTGGTTCCCCGGGGGGGCAGGGGGGCCTCGAGAATTCTCCCATGGAGTCTCCAAGAGAGGCCTAAGATGTCCCCAAAATGGCCCCGAAGATTATGTACCAACCGAGAGCCCTGTGGTACATAATTGCCGTGGCCCTCCTTGGACCTTATTGGGCCGCTATTTGGCCTCCTGCTCCCGCTCTTGGGCCCATCTTGGGCCTGTTCTGGGACGGTCTGGGGCTGTCCTGAGCGCCTCTTCAGCAGTCTTGGGGCCTTCTTGGGCCGGCTTGGGGCCGTCTTGGGGGCCTCTTGGGCGGTCTTGTGGCGGTCTTGAGGGCCTCTTCGGCCGTCTTGGAGCGCTGGAAGCATGAAATGGCGAGCAGGCCAAAAACCTCGAAACAACATGTGAAAAATAACGATTTTGGGTTCTCCGGACGCTCTCGGGAAGTCTCTCGGAGCTCTCTTGAGGTCTCTTGGAGGCTTTCTGGGAGCCTGGAGAGCCGTCCGAAGGCTATCATGGGTTGCTCGGGAGCGTCTTGGGCTGTTCTTTTACGTTCTGGGGGCTTCTTGGGATCGTCTTGGGCTGTCCTTGGGCGTTTTGGGGGTGCCTGGGAGGGCGGGCGGCACGGTACCGGAGGCGTTCCGCAAATGTCACGGAGAGGTGTGGCACCCCGGGGGGGACGTATTTGTTTGGTTTTTGTTTCATGTGTTTATCCACGCGCGCATAGCGGACGTGAGCTCACACTCAAGCCATACGCCGTCCAGCGCGTGGACGGGCAAAATAAGTTCGTCCGGCTCGGGACAACCGAAGCGCTGACTGTAAGCAGTGCTCGGGAGTGAGAGAAGCGCAAGGACAGCAGCGATTCGAGAGCAAGAAGCACGAGCGAAAGCAACGACAAACGGCGCGGATGGCAAGCCTGTGGCCTGTTAGAGCAATGTGCTCACCCACCCACCCTCACCTACACCCACAACCACACCCGCACGCCCACGCGCGCACGCGGCATCTTCAAATCGGCGGCTGGACAGGGAGCGATACCAGCAGTCAAGCGCCCGAGCAAACGAACGCCCCAACGAGGCAGAGGGAGAAACGGATATAGAGAGGGGGACACATACAGAGAGATAGAGAGAGGAAGAGAGAGGGAGAGACACATTGTCTGGCAAGGGGGGCGTCCCTAAGCGTCCCGCCACCCATAGCGAACCCAAGGACAAGGGTCCACGTGTGAAGGCAACGGGAAACACCAGCAACACAGCGCGGACATGGGACCGGTGTTTACCATGTCATGGTCACGGAGGTGCACTCGACAAGGGAGGCACCGAGAATGCACACACACACACAGACAGACACACGCGCACGCATACACATACGTGCACACACTCCCTATCCCTCTCTCTCTCTATCTCTCGCTCTCTATCCCTACCTCCCTCTCTCTCTCCATCATGCACACTCGCACGCCTACTTCAGGCAAACGAGCGCTCCTCACACACGGCGCAGTCAAGGCGGGCGCGGAGGATGGCACCATAATTACGGCCGCTTGGTCTCTGAAGACGGAGCTGCACACGCACACCTGCGCGCAGGCACCGTCCCTCGACGTCGGCGCTGCTCTCGCACGGGCGAGCAGCGAAACGGCGGGGCTTTCGGAGGCCCCTCCGGGGTCCCAAACCTGGCTGGCCTCGGCGCGTCCCCTTGGAACGGCTCATTAACCGCAGCACCTGCAACGTGGACGGCTGAGGTCGGCCGACGTTTCGGTCAATGCCGACATCCTCTGGCGTGGAGGAGGAGGAGGAGGTGAAGGAGGGGGAGGCGTCTTCTTACTCCTTGTGCGTCTCTGCCTCCCCAGCGGATTTCGTTATCTTTGGGGCAGAGGGCAAGGCGGCACCGCGGCGCTACCTGAACATTCCCTCGACCGTAAGGGTGTAGGGTGGAGAAGGAGAAGCCTCCCAGCCTCATCCGCTTTCTGCCCTGCCACCAGACAACGAAGCCTCAGGCCGCAGCTGGTTGAGCAGCCACGTCGCCTTGCCGATGGCCTGGTCCCAGGCCTTGTCGGCGGCGTGGCCTGTTGCGCCGTAGGGGGGGCCATCGCACAGGGGGCTGTGCTGTGAACCCTGCGGCTCTTCGGGGACGCGCGGTTGAGCAGTTCCTATGACTGGCTTCCCGAGCCCGCGCTTGCCTGCCGAGCCTGCCTTCCCCCGCACCACACCCACTACACCAGACACCGTGCCCTACCCTGGCGACGCGCACAGGAGCGTTGCGCGAGGCGGGCGGCATGTTGAGAAGCTGGGGGGCCTGTGGGAAGGCAGGGGCCTCCTCAAAAGGGCATGACGACTTTCTAAGAAGGCTGCTCGGGAGCCGGAAGGGCTTCCAGTAGGTCGGGCTTGTTCCCCTACAGGGGGATTTTCGATGAACAATAAAAGCAATACCCCAAAATACACCAAAAAGGTCAACAACATACCCAACAAATAGTCCCCAGACTATGTTTGCACTATTTTGGGGTTACTTTTTTCCCTACATTCTGAGTGGGGTTTTTGTGTTCCCAGAACATCCTCTCCTTTTCCCTCCCGCCTCCCGCCTCCCATATCAATACCACGCCTACCACTCCAGCCTCCCATATCATACCAGGCCTACCATTCCATATCATACCATAACAGGCCCCGTCTGAGCGAGGAGGGTATAGGAAACCCATACTATTTACATGGTTTCGTGCCCTCCCTCCCCTCCAGGGAGGCCCCGCCTGAGCGAGGGTGGTATCGGAAACCCGTACAATTTACATGGCGTCGTGCCCCTTCCACCCCTCCAGGGAGGCCCCGCCTGAGCGAGGAGGGTCTCGGAAACCCGGATTATTTACATAGTTTCGTGCCCCTGCCCCCCCCTCCAGGGAGGCCCCGCCTGAGCGAGGAGTGTATCGGAAACCTATATTATTTACATGGTTTCGTGCCCCTCCCACCCCTCCAAAGAGGCCCCGCCTGAGCGAGGAGGGTATCGGAAACCCATACTATTTACATGGTTTCGTGCCCTTCCCACCCCTCCAGGGAGGCCCCGCCTGAACGAGGAGGGTATCGGAAACCCATACTAGTTACATGGTTTCGTGCCCCTCCCACCCCTCCAGGGAGGCTCCGCCTGAGCGACGAGGGTATTTGAAACCCATACTATTAACATAGTTTCGTGCCCCTCCCACCTCTCCAGGGAGGCAGGCCCCGCCTGAGCGAGGAGGGTTTCGGAAACCCATACTATCTACATAGTTTCGTGCCCCTCCCTCCCCTCCAGGGAAGCCCCGCCTGAGCGAGGAGGGTATCGGAAACCCATACTAGTTACATGGTTTCGTGCCCCTTCCACCCCTCCAGGGAGGCCATGCCTGAGCGAGGGGGGTATCGGAAACCCATACTATTTACATGGTTTCGTGCTCCTCCCACCCCTCCAGGGAGGCCCCGCCTGAGCGAGGAGGGTTTCGGAAAGCCACACTATGTACATGGTTTCGTGCCCCTCTCATCCCTCCAGGGAGGCCCCGCCTGAGCGAATAAAAACAAAAAAAAAAGAAGAGAAAACAAGAAAAAAAAAAAAATAAAAAAAAAGAAGAAGAAAATGAAAAGAAAAAAAAAAAAAAAAAAAAAAAAAAGCGAACAAAAAAAAAAAGAACAAAGGGGGTCTCGGAAACCCATACTATTTACATGGTTTCGTGCCCTTCCCACCTCTCCAGGGAGGCCCCGCCTGAGCGAGGAGTGTATCGGAAACCCATACCATGTACATGGTTTCGTGCCCTCCCCACCCCTCCAAGGAGGCCCCGCCTGAGCGAGGAGGGTATCGGAAACCCATATTATTTACATGGTTTCGTGCCCCTCCCATCCCTCCAGGGAGGCCCCGCCTGAGCGAGGGGGGTATCGGAAACCCATACTATTTACATGGTTTCGTGCCCTTCCCACCTCTCCAGGGAGGCCCCGCCTGAGCGAGGAGTGTATGGGAAACCCATACTATTTACATGGTTTCGTGCCCTTCCCACCTCTCCAGGGAGGCCCCGCCTGAGCGAGGAGGGTATCAAGAAACCGTACTATTTACAAGGCTTCGTTTCCTGAGCACCTGCCCTCCCTCCTCCTTTCTGTCGTCTGCCCTTTCGTGCGCACTTACTCCTTCGATGAGCTTCTCCGTCGTGTTGGTGTTGTCGTACCCCATGGGCCCCACGAAACCGTTAATATCTTTCTGTGGGGAACTCCGTTAGCATAATGGGGTACTTTTTTGTTCGTCGACAATCCCCCTGTAGGGGGACAGGCCCGACTTAATTTTAAGAAGGCTGCTCAGGAGCCGGGAGGGCTTCCAGGAGGCCACCCCATGCCGTCTCAGCAGCCCCACGCCTCTCAGGAAGGCCGCACCCCTTGCGCCAATCCCCATCGGGCGCGCCGACAACTTTCTCCGCCTCCTCCCTGCCCATCACGAGACCGCTCCTCGCCCCCATCCCTTCCAGGACCAGGGAAGTGCCAGCGCGCGGGGGCTACAAGACATCCGGGCACACTCCGGCCCGCGGGACGTCGCGCGGGCGCACGGGGAGCGTCTCAGATGAGGGCCGCGGCGGCGGTGTCGGGCCACCGCTCGTGCGGGCACGCCCGTCTCCGTCGGTGGCGTGGCTTGGACGGTGCTGCCCGCCGCGACGCCCGAAAGGGGGGGGAAACAGGAGGAGGCCAGGATGGATTTCGGGGCACAACTCGTGGGGGGGGGGGGCCGAGGATATCGACCGCGTGGAAAGAGCCCAGGCAGGCGAAGCCCCAGCCAAGGGGATCGAGCAGGGCAGGGCTGCCCGGGAAACGCCCCTTCTCGGGGCTGCAGCGCAGGCGGTCGCCCCTCCGCCGACCCGTGACGCCGAGGCCGCCCCGGCCGGGAGCCGAGACGAAGGCCAGCAAGGGCGCGCGCCGCCGCGCGGCAGAGGCGTCCCTGCGGCGGGGGGGGGGGCACACTTCTGTGAAAACCAGGGCTCCCCACAGAGAGCGGTGACGTAACGAGCTCTGAACACCAAGGCTCCCAAGAGCGAATGGCGCCATGAGCCATCTCGGGCAAATGCCTGAAGCGCTCTTTCCGTTCCCGTGCCGGCCCAGGTGTCGCAGAAAACTTTTCGGGAGTTTCGTAGAGGCGGGCCCAGCACCGAATCGGCACGTCGGCTCGGCGATCGAACGGCATCGGATCGGCGGACCTCGGCCGCCGAGCCCGGAAAGGCCGGATCGTGGGAACTCTGCCGGCCCGTGAGGCCCCATGGAGGAACCGACGCCCAGGTCGGAGTCCGCAGTCGAACCGAATCGGCACCGGAATCGATCGAGGTCGGGTGGGCACCTCCCCGAGGCACGGATGAGCCGTCCCTGCCGGAGCGGCCTGCCCCGCGCGGAGCTCGTGCCTGCGGCAGGCTGGGCCTCCTCTCCGTCGGCCCACCCCAGAGGGTCTTCGCAGGCCGCCGCCAAAAGGAGGGCCAAGGATGCCCAGAGACCTCGACTCCCGGTCGCCGATCCTCATCCATTCGTTGTAGCTTATCAGGGTGAGGGTGCCGAACGGTCATTCACTGTCCCTGGGTGCGTGGCTGACAAAGGAACTCGTGATGACACTTCTGCTTGTTGCGTTGTTGTTGTTGCTGGTGCTGTTGTTGTTGCTGGTATTGTTGTTGTTGTCATTGTTGTTTGTTGTCGTCGTCCCACCCGTGACCCATCCGCGACCCACCCCGCGACCAACCCCGCGACCCACCCCGCGACCCACCTGCGACCCAAGCCGCGACCCACCCGCGGCCCACCTCCTCGACCCGCGGCCCACCTCCGCGACCCGCCCGCGACCCACCCGCGATCCACCCCGCGATCCACCCTCAAGAGAGGAAAAAACACCTGGACCCGACAATTGACGTTTACTAAACAGCCCTGGGCGTTTACTAAACCGCCCTGCCCTGTTCGATTCATTCCTTGTGTGCGTTTACTAAACGGCTTCGCTGGTCGGGGTGATTATTATGGGGTGGACTTTCTGCCCTCTACACCCGCGACCCACCCGCGACCCACCCCGCGACCCAACAACGACCCACCCGCGACCCACCCGCGACACACCTGCGACCCATTTGCCACCCACCCGCGACCCACCCGCGACCTACCCACAATGGTTTAACGAGGGAATCGGCGCTTGCGGCGGGCTCGCTGTATAATTTGTGCAAAATTGGCGCCTGCGGCGGGCTTCTCCACTTTCGCAAACCGCCGACGTCCCCACCGCCCCCTCACTCTTATCAGCATCTGCGGGGTGCTCCATAACATATCACTCCCTCTATCGCACCCCGAGACGTGTCGAAAGGGTGGGCCGGGCGTGTCGCCTGAGACCCTCAGAAATTCTGAAGCTTGAAACTTGCAACGGCGTCACGAGTGGGAGACGGGTTGTTTTCAACATGTGGCTCTCGCCTCAGCGCCGCGCGCATCCGTCATAACAATTTACAGTAACGTCGCGGATCGAGGGCGGGTCGTTTTCAAAGTGTGGCTCTCGCATTAGCGCCGCGAGCATTCGTCTTTTCTTTTAACATGTGGGCAACTGTTTCATGGATGGAAGGCGGTGTCTTTTCAAACGGTAACTCTCGCCTCAGCGCCGCGCGCATTCTTTTTTAGAGTCTTACAACAGTTTCGAGTATTCTCATGGTTAACATACTCAAAACGAATATGGCACGACTGTGAGGTCGCAAGAGTTACGCTGATTGTGTTGAAATCCAAGAAACCGAATTCTAGCGCGATTCAGATTCGCGGCGTTGAAGCCCCAGGAATGTATGCTGGCACAGTTCAAGATTTTCGAAGGTTGTCTGCAAACGAGGCACTTCCCTCCGCGAAGTATGAGCCGGTGTAGGGGCTCATGAAGAGGGAGCTTGGAGGGAGGGTTCATTGCAGTATCGTTGATGAGTCTTGGGTTTGCACTGGTCCTCCTCCTCCTGATCAATCCGTTTGAAGACCATCGTCTTTTTACGGTCCTGGGGATCAACGTGGGCCCCCGGAGGCCGAGAACGGCCCAACGCCGCCCGCCACAATTTTTGTTGGCGCGTCGGCTCTCTGGGACCGATCGGCCGATCCC